TTGCGAACAAGTTGTGCTCTCCGTTGGTCAATATCCTTTAATTGCTCTTTAGAGGGAGGAATTATACCCGAACTCTGGAAAAGGCATTTGTAGCACCTGTACCAAAGACCCATCCTCCAAGCTTAGAGTGTCTTCGACCCATCTCGCTCACAAGACTTTGTCCTTGAATGGATTCTCAGTGATATAAGACTTGCTATTGATAATCGTCAATTTGGTTCATTGAGGGTTCATCTACGACCCACTATTTGGTCAGACTTCTAGATGACATTCACACTGTTCTCGATAAACCACAAAACTCTGTCGTGGTAATTTCCACTGATTTCAGTAAAGCTTTGGACAGGGTGGATCATAATATTGTCTTTAATAAGTTTATCCAATAAGGGGTTAGAGCTTCCTTAACTTCTTGGATAGGAAGTTTCTCGTTTAACCGTTTACAGGCTGTTCGATACAGTGATGTTCTGTCAACTTGGGAGACGTTGCATGCTGGAGTTCCCCAGGGAACCAAAATTGGACCTATTGCATTCCTAGTCATGATCAAGGATTTTGCTCCCAACCAATTGTACATAAAACATTACAAATGTGTCGACTTTTTCCAATCCTAATAAAAGCTCCAGCATGCAAGGTGAGCTCCGTCACCTACAACAGTAGCCTGACTTGAACAAAATGAAACTGAACCCCACTAAATGGCAGTATACGAGCATTAGTTTTCAGCGCACATATACCCCCATTTGTTATATCTGATTTTCAGATCGGCCAAAACAGAATGTGTGAAGTTGTTGGGTATATATACACAGAGTAATTTAAGGTGGGACTCCCACATTAATAATATGTGTATAAATTGTAACCGAAGGCCTTTTTCTTGCGACAACTCAAACGAAACCTAGTTTCTATTAATGATCTTCTGACGTGTATGTCAGGCCCACGATTGAATATGCTTGCCCCGTTTGTATTCAGGACTGTCTAAGGGATACCTTGTCACGCTGCAAAAGAAAACTCTAAGAATTATTTGGCTGCTGATATTAGTTATGCAAAGCCCTATACAGAAATTTGTTACGAGTATGGGCTTCCGACTATTGCTGAGAGATTGGAACAACTTTTCTTAAATTTTGGCAAAACCCTCTCGGATTCCCAAACCTATCGGCATTGGCTCCCTCAAAACCGAAAAAACAACCTGCAAAATTCTAATCAGATGAGTGCTCTGAAATACCGGACTAACCGACAAAAAAGGAGCTGTATCCCATCTCTTGTAGATGCACTAAAGAAAGTTGATTAATATGTTTTCTGCTTCAACATTGGGTTTATTGTTGGGTCTCGTTGTGTGGTGATAGTCTACTCTGCTCAAAAACTGGCTTATGCATACGTGTATATCTGGCTGGTACCAAGATGAAAGATGGTTGTCCTGCGATAACCCATGTCTGGTCTTCCAACTATATTTGTTTTGTTTTTGACTTGTGTCTTTCTTTCTTTCTTTGAATCCCATGCACTTGCCGCTTCTGTTCCTTTTTAGTACTCTTTTTTTCCATATTTTGTTGTGATACGTATTTGTGATGTCCTTTGTACGTTTCTAGTCTTTGGTCTGTTAAAGAAATTGAAAATGTATTCTATTGTAAATGTATCACATGTCCACTGGTCCTGTTTATTGTCATTTTAGCCTTGCATTTCTTTGCATTGCTTTTAACGAAATATGTGTATACTTTTTATGTAGACCAATCTTTTTATATGAGGCTAAATGAGGAATGATCCCCAAAACCTTGTTTTGAGTAATCGGCGACTGAAGTTGCAACATAGGCTACACGTAAAAATCATGTCAAAATACATTTTCTGTTTTTTTAGATTTTTAGGTAGGTTAGGTGTCAAAGATTCCGTCAAACTATGTCATTTGTGAAAGGAAATCACACAAAGGCGATAAAAACGAGAATTTCTGAAGAGACTTTGTTTCAATCTTTTCTAAAATTTATGGTGTTCACCTTTTACAATTTTGTCCATATTTTCCGAGCGCGTTTTCAGGCAGTTCGACTGTAGCCCTTGCGTAAAGTTTGGTACTGTTCACGAACTATGCCTTTGTAAGCAAAACGAAGCTACGTGATTGGATCCCCATACAACTACAGTTACTTGGATACACGACAGGGAAGTGTGGAGGCAAAATCCAGCAGTTTGATTGGTGTCCTGTGATTCAAATGTTCGGCGCGGTCAGCATTGTTTACTCGGATATATGACAAGCGCTTTGTTCGTCCAATCAGTGTGCATTACACGCGCGTGAAAAAGATATTTTTACTGAAGTCTGACAAACCCACGTCTGTACCATACCCATCCTTACGTCGTGCAGAATATGAAAATGACGCTGATTGGCTATTCGTGATGTATATATGAACGTGAAGTCAATCGCGTGCGTTTTTCAAAAGCTGCGCGCCCGCGCCCACGTATTCTCTTGCATGTCACGCACGCGTCAATCTGCGTCGCTCGTAAACACGCTGACAAAATATCCCAAAATAGTAGGGTATATAAATACGGCCGTTTCACAATAGTGCGCCACCAAGAGTTTGCAACGCGTTGGCCAGTCACAATGCGCGAAATTTGTCGACTCAATGCGCGTTTAGAAAAGGTCGACAAACTTCGCGCGTTTTGATTTGCCAACGTGTTGCAAACTCTTGGTGGCGCACTATTGTGAATCGTCCGTATTATACAATACCAGGGCTCAGATCGCGCAAGGCATGGTGGGAACCAAATGGTGCGGCAAGATCGTTCCCGTGGGAACGAGGTTGGTACCATACCGTACGTACACACACGGTAAACGATGCTGTGGTCGTGTACGTGTATATATATAAGTATACGAGCTCAACACTATCATGGCATGTACTGTACGCGTACATGTACACTGAATGCTGTTACGATCACTAAGCTTGCGGCGATTTTTGGCCGCCCCAAAAGGACAACCCTGGCCGACTTTTACGCCAAATTCAGCTGGGATAATATTTATTTTAAATTATTGCTGTATTGCACCCTGGACACCCCTCAAGACCTGCTCTTGGCTCGTGTGACACCAGTACTTGCATGTACACTGAAAACTTTGAAAGTATCGAAGGCAGGATCTAATGACTTCGGCTGGACATGGACAGCTTTCTGAAATTCCAGAATTTTCGGTTTGCAAAGAATAGGAGTATTATCTTTCAAGTTGCAGGAGAGAATAAGTTTATGTTAACTTATCTTAAGGAAGGCTTACACATTTTAATATCACAAAAGAATGTTTCTCAAATCTAAAAACGAAGTTGGGGGGCCAGTGCCAACATCAGTCCCGTCTAATGTCATTAACGATTCCTAATCACGAAACTCCAAGCATGGATGTCCCCTTCTCCAAAGAATATCACAAAAAATTTCCTTTGAAGACATTCTTTCAGTTTACTTAGTATTTCATGGCAAGAGCTGCCCATAAATAACCTGTTGCTGTGGTCATTTAGGTCGAGAACGATTATGGAGCTCACACAACATGCTCGTGGCTAACGTTTGCAGCTCCGGTGCGTGCTCTATTTTCAAAGCCGTTTTTCTCAAAAGTAGTTTTAACCACAACGATATTTCCCGTCATCTTTCTTGCGTCATAGTGGAGTGGAGAGGAGTGGGCTACAACTATAAATGAGGTAACACTGGAAAGTCCACTCCTTTCTCTTTATTTTCATCTGCTTATCTCAAAAAGTTAAAGATGGGGATCTTTCCTCAATATGCCATGGCAGGTCAGATATATTAAATGACCTCTTTTTACTGATTGATTACCAAACGCATTCAGCCTTTAGCAGCAACATTTTCATTTTTTAATAAGTAAACCAATAAAATAATAATACTATAATTACACAATTTGATCTATGTTAGGCGTATAATTTCATTAGCATGACCTTGGATTTGCTTGCCTGCCTCATGTTTATTTTACTGCAATTTGTCGGTTCAGTGCGTGACATCGGTAGCTGCATTAGACTGAACGGAACGTGTACCAAACGCTAAAATTCAGGCGCAATTATGAACATGACTCTGTAGTTTTTGATATGAAATCAAAATCCTAGAATAACATTTTTTGGAATTTGCAGTAAGCTTACTCTCTGTGCTAAAACTTCATTGCGTTCGTTTTTAAGTACCGTACTTCAGATTTGGAGTAATTCTGCTGTAGCGGCGTATCCAGCTTTTGGTGTCGGGGGATTCAAAAGTAAATGTGGCTTCAGGCTTATTCAAAATGATGTTTGGAGGACAAATATCAAAAGCCTTACTCAAAAACCCGTGGAAGGGGTTGGGGGCAAGTGGCCCCTGTGCCCCCCCCCCCTTGCTGGATACGCTACTGTTTTGTTGCCTCAAATGGGCATAATGACAAATGATGGAGTGTATCTTTAATTGTGGTTCGGCGCGACTATGGTATACCCGACTGAACTGGGTGTTAGTTTTAGACGTGGCTTTCTTCATGAGCCAACTCTTTGCAAATTAATGCGGCAAACACGAAAAATGATGTTGATGAAAACACAGACTCTGTCTGTTACACAGACAGATAGCTGGTGGGCTAAGTCACATTGGAACCATGCAGCCTTACTTTTGTTGGCCGGGTTTCATGTTTGCTTCATGTCCATGATGTGTTTACAGAAGGTTAGCTATAAAACGTATGGTTTCATCAGTATGGTCTTGGTCATGCCAGCTTTCATGTATTATGCTTTTAAAAATTGTGGCGGGAGATGAGGTAATAAAAAGCGACTTGTGTGTATATATATATTTTTTAATTGATTAACAACTTGCATAATAATGTCATCGTGACGTCATTATTTGCATTACACATATAGGGCTTTCTTCTACCTACTCAATAAGTTCCATGATGATCACGCTAATTTTCTTTTTCAAAAGAAAAAACGAAACGCTGTTTCGGCTCGTGTCTCGATATAAAAAGACTTTGCGAAAAAAAAATCTTCACTAATAAAGCTTACGGTTCATGAATTAGAAAGGGCCCATTTTCTCCGAGACAAGTCCATACTCACCGTCCCATCTTCGAACACAGTCCCACATCCGTGGCAACAGCACCCGTTCTGTACCACCCTGGTATGGATGGGTTTTCTCCATCTTGAGTCGGCCCGACTCCCTCCCTTATCAGGTTCCATTTACTGACTGCCAGTCCCAAAAGAGCCACAACCAAAGTAACGAGGATTGCTGTATCAGACACAGACAAAAAGTACACAGGTTATGTAATCTTATACATGGCAGTTAGATGCTATGCGAACCTGCTACATGTACTACATAACATTTAACAAAATGGGTGTGAGGTACGTGTTTTGACAAATGTTGGGTAAACTTTTACTTTGAAAGTATATAGGCACGTATATTAACCTATTGTAGTTATGTGGAGTACACCAGACACCCTAGGTTCACCAGCCTCAGCCATGATATCTGGCGTACCAGACCCATATGTTTGTACACAAGAAGGCCGTAAAATTAGCCACACCAGAGCTTGGAATAGGTCACACAAGACTTTTTCATATCGATCTAAATATTAAAACATCATTATGGTCACACCAGACCCCATACATCTAAAGTGGCAAGATAAGGCCACAAAGTTAAGGATGAAATCTTTGTAACATCTCAAATATATATATATATATTATAAATAAAAAACAACAATGAACTTTTCAACACACATACACAAAGAGTTCTTCCGTTTAATGCTATGATCTACGGGCAGAAAGGCCCCTGGTGAACCTCCAGTGCGCCATTACATTGCCTGTCCACCAAGTGAAAATTTAGTCTAATTCACTTAACGTAACCTTTTAACAATGTGCTAAATAACATCAATAAGATAATGTATTATCAAGCAAACTATTCACAAAGCTAAATTTCTGCATCATCAGTAAAAAGAGCATGTTCTTCTGATTATTTGATACCACATTTACATATATTTGATATAAAATGAGAGGGTTATGTGCCATTTTCACTAAAAGGGTGGATTTTTAAGTGAAAACTGTTCATTTTTGTTGATCTCTGCCCTGACCCCATGGAAGTGTGGACTCCGCTAAAAATTGGCAAGTATTTATTATTCATTGATGTTTACAAGCACAGCAATTTTCATCAAAATCTTTAGACCTAAGGTCAAAAAGTGTGTTGGTCTGACATGGAATGACCCCCATGTTAGGCTGCCAAACTGTAACATGATGATTATCGTGCACCGCATACATCCAATCCTAGATTCATATTGCGTTCAACTCCGAGCAAACCTGAGAACTTAGGAACAACATCAATAAAAGTGAAACTTAAGACTACAGCGTTGTAATTTCACTTAATGCGTGAATTCCACGTTAAGAGGACAAATGCTGAATTGGCAGTGGCAATAACTTGTTCAGGGAAAACAGTTCATACATTTCACGTGTACACTGGGGACACTAACCCTTTGGTGCTGTCTTTCTAACTCGTAAATTAGCGATGAAAGACCGCGGTTATTATCCTCAGTTCCTTTTATCCAGCCCACATGCAGTCATGTTTTCATGGTGTTCTAAGCACCAGATGTTTTAGCTGACTAATGCTTCCATCAATATAACTGCATGATGATCATCCACTGCTTATGGCGCATAGTTAATATCGAAACAGATCGGCCTAAAATGAAGGGTTTAGACCTTCATCAGTGGTAATAAACGAGAAAAGCATTAAACTACATGCATAGGCCTAAACCGGCATAAAAATTGTTAACCTGTCTTTGGGGATCTGGCTGAGAGCAAAGTTATGACCATACATTAATGTCAGTAATACCAATCGAACGTGACTCTTTATAATCTTTATGCCATGTATTATAAAGGATACGTGCTCAGTGTAAACGTTTGACCGAAGTAACACAACTTGTGTACAAGTAATGTTTTTTTTTTCGAACAAATCAGTTTCAAATAACAGAAGAGTTTCATTTAGGCCGTAGTGACTAAAATTGCGTGATATTTTTATCAAAACATGTTTTACCGATCTTAGTTTTACCATTCATTCTGCATGTGTGGCGCTTGCCGTCTTCCCGACAACCAGGTTTCCTGCATGCCGATTAAAATATCGAGACAGAATCAAAAAGCAATTAAGCAACGTATTCTCCCCGCAATGATGCATATACATTTGATTATGATAAATATGAGGTGGACCTATTTCCCTCACTTGCACCATCATTCAAGGAGATCATTCATGTGTTTTCACATTTGAATATATACCTTGACAAAACCTGTCTGGGAGTCGGTATCGGACAGTGAACTTGAATGCCATTTTGACACTATTATGCGGCACGATTAGTTTCTTGTTGCATTATACGCTGTCTGAAGTATGATCCTGTCATGGCACCTACTTATTAAACCAAAATGTGTGAAGCCTAGTCAACCCCCCCTCATTATTTACCTGTTCAGTCGCTGCTCCTTTTGGTTTGAAACTTTGAACGTGATCACAAAGCAAGTAGCACATATGCAAACTCCCCGCAATAATGCATATACATTTGATTATGATAAATATGAGGTGGACCTATTTCCCTCACTTGCACCATCATTCAAGGAGACCATTCATGTGTTTTCACATTTGAATATATACTTTGACAAAACCTGTCTGGGAGTCGGTATCGGACGGTGAACTTGAATGCCATTTTGACACTATTATGCGGCACGATTAGTTTCTTGTTGCATTATACGCTGTCTGAAGTATGATCCTGTCATGGCACCTACTTATTAAACCAAAATGTGTGAAGCCTAGTCAACCCCCCCCCCTCATTATTTACCTGTTCAATCGCTGCTCCTTTTGGTTTGAAACTTTGAACATGATCACAAAGCAAGAAGCACATATGCAAACTGGTGCTTGGCTGACAGTACCCGTCCGTGAGCCCTGTTCTCTGTTGTCGTGCAACCGTTGTGAGCGTCCCTGGGACCGTCACAACGCCTGCATTACATTGTGCCGGGGTTGATCAAAGCAGATCTTCACACACAGTTCAGCGCTAACTTCAGATTGTATACTGTTCGCGGTATAGACTGGCTCCTGTCCCGTACGTAGTCTCCAGACGTTCTAGCTTACAGACATCCTCGGACTGTAGGGACCGGTAGCGGATAATGAATTCGGCAGAATCCTGCCGTATGTCTGTAAATGAGGAAACGATGACCGCTCAATGCGCAAATCAAGCAGAAGCTGAAGGCATTCTTTTTGTTGTTGGTTCCCCATTAATTTGTCTAAAATTTAATACAGTAACCACTGGTTTGAAATATATTACAGTAAAATGATTTTTATCAATGCGTTATATATTATACACACAGTCTCTGTACATGTAACAGGTTATATGGTACCGCACGCGACTCACAGTGTGACCTGCGTTTGACCCCAGCCTACGGTGAATGACTTCACTGTATTCCAGAATTTTTTAGTTTTATAGCGTACGTTCTGAAACTGAGTTTCTTGTAAGCTCACTAATGCTAGAAAAAGTTTAGAAACGTGCATAATGATAAGAACTTCGTAAGAAAGTCTTAGAAGAGTTGTATGTGTGGAGAGATTTGGGGCGGCAATTTTACTTGTCCGCGGGGTGTGAGAAGTCGTTGACCTGTTGACTTCTGCACCATTTTCAGCCCGACGGTGGTAGCGAGTCGTCAGCTTCGGGGCAACATTTGTAAGAAAGTTCATTCAGACCAAGTTACGTGCAGAAGTAAATTTTGTTCCGGAAGGAACATTTTGTGAACTGAATCCAGATTCAGATTGTGGGATCATCAAGTCCCATATTTGCGACCGTAACAACACGCCATCACCGTTTCGTCTCGAGCCCGGTCATCGTCATGGTCATCGTCCCTTTTGCAGCTCATTTTTACACCGTCAAGGACTGAACTGTTTATCGCCATCTGTGGAGTCCTGAATTCTTCGCTTTTGTGCCTGCCAAGCTCTCGCCCGTAAGATCATCTTTTTTGTATAAGATCTTTCCTTGATTCTTTACCCTTCCGATTGTAAACTAGTTCCTATCAGCAGTCTTTTTTCTTTTTCTTTTTTTTTTTGGACCAGCTAAGTGTAACATTCTTATTTGTTCCTTATATCTACGTGATCTTGTTTGATTTCTTTTTGCGTCGGAGAAAATTCAAGCTTTAAAATGCTTACTATTCTTAAATAGTTTGGAGTTTTTCAGACTGTAACCAATGATAAAAAAACAAATTACCACACTGTGATCCACAGAGGCTTAGCAAGGATAGGTAGTTGTGTTTTATTCGCCTCGGCGCTGAAACGTATTTCATGTTATGGCATTGCTATTGGCCAGACAAAAACTTAAAATATTCAGCATCCACAATGAGAGGGCTGTCGCACACGTTCAACCGCAGCTAGCTACATGTTCCTACATAATAGAAACGGGAACCAGTCCATAACGAAGTACAGCATCCAGCTACTGAGTGACAACCATTTTGGTCCTAA